TAGGGAATACCAAATTGGGAGAAATATTGTTGGAATAAAATTTTAGCAACATTTTCTGTTCATTTTCTGCATCAATATTACCAAGAGGGTATGCTTCAGGCCACCTCGTAAACCGTTCGACTACAGTCATGATATGATTACATCCTCCTGATTTAGTCAGGGGCCCGACTAAGTCGACATGAGTGTGTTCGAAACGACCTTTAACAATGTCAAATTTGTCAATAGGAGCTTTAGTATATCTATTAACTTTAGTTAGCTGACAATTAACGCAAGATTTTATCCATTTATTTATGTCAGAATTCATCTGAGGCCAATAATATCTAGATCTTATTAATTTTTTTTGAAGATTTAATTTTGGAATGAGAAATATTGTGAATATTCGAGAAAATAGTAAATCTAATATTTTTAGGAACATATAGACGATATTAAAGCCATATTCGAGCGGTCGACTAGTTTAAACATATTTTATGTGGTTTAAAAACGGTTTGAACAATTCTCGATAGGGTGACCAAACAATGACGTCATGGTAAAAAAAGTTTAAACTAGCTGCATCTGTTTTTAGATGAGGAAACTTCACACCAAAGTTTCGTTTTCAAAAGTGGTGGGGGTTATGATTGACAACCTGTGTTATTTTTAACAGGTCTGTTATTTTATAAACACACAAAAATTACAACCTATTTACAAATAACATGTCTGTTAAAAATAACATTACTTGTCGATCATAACCCCATATTTCTTGTAGTTTATGATAACTGTCATCTTTAGAACTGCGCAATAATTGCTGTAATTCAATGTCATCATTTTGGTATTGTTTGAAATACTTTATATCTACCTGCATAAAATTCGAGGAGGTTAGTTGTGGTAACATTTCCGGGGAAGCAATTTCTTTTAACCGAGATAAAGAATCCTATATTGTATTCTGTATTGAATATTCTCACATACATATTATAGGTTGCAGCTGTTTTGGACGCAAGATATCGTTTGCTTGAATAGTGTCGATGTAATTTAACAATACAAAGGCCTCCGCCTATAAATTCCCTTTTACTTTCCTTCCAGACGTAATGGCTCTTCCTTCACCCTTGGAATACCATCGATGGTCTCGTACGGACTTCACTATTTCTTTATCTGTCTTTCTATGTTTGCCATGTTTTTCTCTTTTAGCCTCAATGACAATTCTATTACCTGATGCCACATACTTTGATAACTATACGGGGCAAGAGAGAGGTCCGACACGCCCAACATAGGGCGCGGCCATTTTGAACCCTATGACACAGTTTATAGCTAAAGAATCAGATCGCTCACTCTGCGTCGGCACTTTTGATCTCAATGTTCCAGTTTATACACTGCGCAACTCAGATAATACAATATATGACAACCGCCTATAATAAAACAGCAGTCTTCTGCGTATCCTGAATTTGTATCCCTGGAGAGGATGTTATTTTGGAACTTTCAACTGGTCCGAGTGAGCTGATTATTTATCAATAAACTGTGACTCCAAAAATAATATTTACTGACACTGACAGCAGCAAAAAAAATATCAGGTGCGTTTTAATCATCCGCTTCTGCTTCCGGAATTGTTGGTTCAGTCGTTCTAACCTGTCAGATTAAAACAAGAAAACCGACAATTCCGAAGCAGAAGCGGATGATTAAAACGCACCTATTAAAAATATTGCGTCAAGATGTAGGCAACACGTAATAAGGGTTCTCCTTTTAAAAGGCACTCAGAAAGCTGCGCAGTGCGACCATTCTCCGTATAGTAAAAGAAAATCAAAGTATATGCCTGATGCTCTAGCCGCGATAACTGTTCGCAGTTTTCTTTCAGTTATTCTGAGAGGACCAATTAAAAAAGGTTTACATACCCAATTTTTTTTTCCATTAATTGTAAGGTAAAAGGCACAATTTGGCTTCTGAGATTCTCCAGTGCACGGCATAAGAAACAATCGGCAGGCTAACTTGTCTTGGCGACAACGCTATGCGCACATCTACGCGCACACCGCCATTTTGGGGTCCAACCTCTCAATAAAGCCAGTGGCGTCACTGTCGTCGTTTATATCGACAAAAACAAACAATTTGCAGCAGCTCGGAATCAGTAGCGTGTATCTTAAATTTATTTTGTTTGTATTATGTAGTTATTGTAATTTTTTTAGAATTTTAGATATTTTTTGAGACTTTTTATATAGTTGTTTTCCAGTGTGAATTTATTAACTTTTAAGTGTTTTACTATATCTGGGCAAAGTTGTGCAGCAAAAGCTATTTAATAAACTGTATTAAAAGATTTTTTCGGTTTTTTAAATATCTTATTAGGTATGTATGGTATACTTTTAAAAAAAATCCTAGGTTATTATGGTTGAGTTTGTCAGTTATAAAGCTATTAGTAAGATGTAGGTAGGTGCCTAGTTAACGTCACGTAAAGTTTAGTGTCAATTTATATTTACTTATGTAGGTATATTATTAAGATTTAAAGTAAAATGTTATATTTTAAACATCTCTCGTATGGAGTTGACAAAATGGAAAATCTTTATTTTTTTTTGAGGGAAAAAGTCATTATAAAAAAATTCTGTTTGACGAAAAAATAGGTTTACTATATTAATATGTTAGGTCAGGTGTACATGGTCTTAATAAATGAAGAAACTTAAAATTGACAAAAGGAAAAAATCTGTATTACCTATTGATTTTACGAAGAAAAGTCACAGTTTTCCTGTCGGTTTTCCTTCATAACTTTAAAAGGAAACTTTTTCTTGTAATTTTCTTTAACAAGCAGAATTTTTTGTAAGGAATGACTTTTTTTTCTGAAAAAAATGCATATTAATCGTAATTGCAAATATTGAAATTCATAACATAAATTTAATTCTGATATTCATTTTGATAATTATTCTAGATATGCGAATAACAAAGCTTTATAATCTTGATAAATCTAAAGTATTTTCATTACAAAAAGCAAGAAAATCTTAATTAGCCATTAAAGAAATTATAAGTAGTAAATTAGTAATGAGTCACAAACAATCAAAATCATGCGTCTTAAGCAGTGCTATTAAAAATGTAAAATTCTTATATTTTGTCGAAGTAAATTCAAAAGCCCGCCAATTTTCAAACTAAAATAGCATTACATCTTTCTATATTACCGACTGAGTATTAATTGCACAAAACTATTCCATATGTCGCTGAAGGTAAACATGCTGCCAAATTTCTGTTAGGAATCTGCAACTCTTAATTATCCTTCATCCATGATGGTAACTGTGTAAACCCTACATCGGTCCAATTTCAAAAGAAGTTCAAAAAATTGCAATATTTAAATTTATTACATTCTGGAACTGAAAACTGCGAAACAGGTATGAATGCTTTACTTGTAAGGCTGCATGAAATACGTAGGACTAATAAGGATGAGCCATTTTTCAAAATCGCGTGTAATGGTGGCAATATTGTCGAAAATGTAAATATAAACAAGCATATTAATGAATTGCATGCACAAAATATTAATATTTTTTAAGAAAATTTTATTATATATGCGGATTTTTAATAAAAAAATGTCTTAAAATTCAGCGTTGCGATGTATGTACACAATATGCCTTAACACACGAAGACTTGGATATAAGCTCCATGTATTGTTATTATAAAGCATACAAAAAAGCAAATGAAGATATTTTTGTCAATTTAAAAATGTCAAATAATAGTTTTGTATGTTTATTAACAAAAATTTAAATAATTTTTCAACACAATTTTGAATTATTTATCACTAAATCCGGCGTTTGTAATTTCTTTTTAGATTTAATTATTTCCTAGATAACATTTGACGCTCCTTGTCCCCGATTTCCATAAATATATGTTATTAAGGGTCGATTCCACCGTTGTGTTAAACGGAGATTAAAATGACATTGTTAATGTAAAAATGTCATTTTAAACTTTGTTTAACACAACGGTGGAATCGGTCCTAAGTTATATTTAAGGCTGCTCATATATTACACTAAAAATAATAATAGAAATTTTAAGACCATCAATAAAAACAAGCTAATTATTTTGCGCAATCTGTAGAGATTTTTTGTTTTAATACGATCCTGCCTATCAATACCTTATTTTATTATAAAATATTTAAATACGCTTTAATCCGACCCTGACTAAGACCCCCAAATGGCGTCGCCAAGGTCAAATTTTCATAGTATAATATTTGTATGCGATCAGCGGCAAGTGAGCCTGCCGATTGTTTCTTATGTCGTGTCCAGTGGTTCTCCATAATTAAGTTGAAGTTGTTCACATACTTTGATTACTATACGAGGCAAGAGAGAGGTCCGACACGCCAAACATAGGGCGCAGCCATTTTGAACCCTGTGACACAGTTTACAGCTAAAGAATCAGATAGCTCACTCTGCGTCGGAACTTTTGATCTCAATGTTTCAGTTTATACACTGTGCAACTCGGATAATACAATATATGACAACCGCATATAATAAAACAGCAGTCTTCTGCGTATCCTGAATTTGTATCCCTGGAGTGAATGTTATTTTGGAACTTTCAACTGGTCCGAGTGAGCTAACTGATTCTTTAGCAATAAACTGTGACTTCAAAAATAATATTCACTGACACTGACAGCAGCAAGCAAAATATCAGGTGCGTTTTAATCATCCGCTTCTGCTTCCAGAATTGTCGGTTTAGTCGTTTTAACCTGTCAGATTAAAACAAGAAAACCGACAATTCCGAAGCAGAAGCGGATGATTAAAACGCACCTATTAAAAATATTGCGCCAAGATGTAGGCAACACGTAATAAGGGTTCAAAATGGCGGAGTTTTCCATCTCCTTTTAAAAGGCACTCAGTGCGACCATTCTCCGTATAGTAAAAGAAAATCAAAGTATGTGAAGTTGTTCAATACATAAACCTAAAAAATCTCGCTGCCTCTGTAATAAGGCCATCTCCCAATATTTCTTGAAAAGTTGAACTTTTCCTGTTCTAGACTTATAACTTTTTCCGCTGTTCTTCAATCTTTTTGCTTTCACGCTTGCCCAACCATTAGTTCTGCGTAATCTTTTGTTTTCCTTTTTTACTATTTGGAGAATTTTCTTTACATTCTGTGGCCTCTAAAATGTTAGGTAACTCTTGACCAACTTTTTCAGTTTCCGAGTTTAAAGATTCTTCGTCACTTGAAGGCTCATAATTATTACTTGAATCTGCAGAAAAATCGCTTTTTGAACTTGCATCATCACAGTAAGTATTTTTAGGAAACCTTTTTATTCCAAGTTTTGTTGAGCTATCCTTTTCTATAACATAAGTGTTAGAAATATCAAGTAACGTAGATACTTCCGAAGCAGGTTTTAAAGCTGTACATCCAGGCATTGCAGAAGTAGTTAAATTAACATGATTTTCCTATAAAGAAAGAGCAAGATTTACTATTTTTTTGGTTCTTGAGCTCATATTTTAACCGCTTGTGCAACAAAGTAAAACATTAAGTTGCAGCTAAAAAGTTCATAATGACAAATATACGTAAGTCGACTAATTTGTTAAAATATATAATAGGGATTTTTGAATATCATTTTATGATACTACTTGTTTTGTAGCTTATGGAAATAATTTCACGTATTAAATGTCAAAACATGGTAATATATCTGATAAAAAGAGCCTCATAAATGGCTGTGCAAAAAGTCACTAATAAAATAATTATATATTATTTATATAAGAAATTATTAACTGTCCTAAAATTAATAGGTCCCTTATAAATTCTAAGAAACAATGTCAAGAAGTACATTTTTTTATAACATATTGAAAAAGATAAATGTTAGAGAATAATGCCGTAAAAATCAGTTATGACACACAAAAATATTAAAATCTAAAATAAAAATGACACAATGTACACTTACGTCGTTCTTCTTCCGAAGTCGCGCACACAGATATCAAAAATACCGTCAAACCTACAGTTACGTTGTTTTTAACTCAAAGAGTAACGTCTTCCTCGAAGTTTCACTCACAATTGAATTGTATGACATTGTTATTCCGAAAGGAATGCAACAAACCTTAAATATTCGAATAATGACGTAATAATTGCCATCTTGCGGCCGATGGTGGTAATATATGTACGTCGTTGTTTATCCGTATAGAGGCATTAATATAGAAAGTAAAGGCGCCGTTAAGCCAAAATTTCACTAATATACAGTTACGTCATTGTTTCACTGGAGCGGCGATATATAAACATAAAATTTTTGGTTTAATTTCACTAGTAATGCCATTTAGTGTTTGGAATTAGAACCATAAAAAACTAAGGCGTCGGTTTTAACTTTAATCACTCACTTGAAACCTCTCTATGTGCTTTGTGGTTTTTAACATAATATAACGCAACTAACTCAGAATATAAAAATTATAGACATAAACCCTTTTTCTATGCAACTCAAATCAAATTGTAAACGTAGACGATCTGCCAATTACCATCTACTATCAAACTGTTGGTGGAATGCGAACCAAACTTAAGGAATTTGAACTCGTTTTGCTTGTTTCCAGTTATGATTTGATTTTGCTTGTCGAGACGTGGCTTCATAGTGGCATAGATGCTGAACTCGGTTTACGAGACTATGTGATTTTTAGGTGTGATCGAAATGTGAATTTAGTCGAAGAGGTGGTGTTCTTTTAGCAATAAGAATTAAGTTTAAGGCTAAGTTTATATCAACTAATTTTATTAATATAGAGCAACTTTTTACAGAGGTTCTTATAGGTCGATAGTCTATAGTAATCGGTTTAGTATATATTCTGCCAGGTTATAATATTAACACTTATGCTGACCACTGTTCTGCTGTTAAACACGTTGCTAACAACTATAAAAATTCTAATATTTACTTATTTGGTGATTATAATTTACCACTTGCATCTTGGAGTAAAAATTTCAGGGATTATAACTTATTAATAAACTGCCCAAATGGTTACGCTGCAGAGGTAGTGAATGAGTCCTGTTCTTATCTTAATCTCAAATAAGCTAATGTTATACCTAATAATCACAATTTTTAAGATCTGGCTTTTAATGATAATCTTGGCACAATTACTATTTATGAATATTATGACTTAATATTTGAAAACAATTATAATCATAAGGCCTTAGTAGGACTTGGCAGTTGAGTCTTATAACCCGTTAAATTATGATGAATATTTCAGAGATTAAAAAAATTCCGATTACGTTGGTCTTAACAATTTCTTGGTCCTATTAATTGGAAACATATTTTAGGCCGCAATGCAGACGAAGCTGTAGACAACTTTTATAATATTATTAATAATGTGGTCAATTTGTTCGTACCTTTACGTAAACGTAAATATTCCACTTATCCAAGATGGTTCTCCTATAAACTCAAGCAACTGATTTTAGAAAAGAAAAAACACATATCAAATATAAGTCATCGAACTCACAGGGGAACTGCTTACATTTTTCCAATTTGCGTGCTTGCTGCAAAATATTAACTAAGCAATGTTACGATAATTACATGGTCAATATCAATCAACAGCTCACTTTGAATTCCGCTTGTTTTTGGAATTACATAAACAGTCGCAAGAAAACGAATAATATTCCTGAATCTGTTAAATTGATTACCACAGAAGGAAATAACGGCCAGGACATTGTAAATTTATTTTCTGATTTCTTTAGTGCTAATTCAAATAAAGATCAAATACCATCGCAGCAACTTGCTAGTTCTGGTACCACTAATGCCAATATTTCAACTCTAATAATAATGCTTACATTAGAAGAAGTATTTAATGGTATTTGTACCCTTAAAGATAAATTTAAGACTGGTCCCGATAGAATTTACCCGTATTTCATAAAGCGTTGCCAATATACATTATGCGTTCCATTACAAATAATATTTAATATATCTTTGTCATCATCGACGTTTCCAACATTTTGGAAAAACAGCTATGTGACTCCAATACATAAGAGTGGATCTAAAAATGATGTTAAAAACTATAGTCCAATTTCCATACTGTCTACCATACCGAAGTTGTTGGAAAAGCTTATCGACCATTATTAACGTTGGAATTGTAAAAATTTAATCAATAGTCATTAACATGGATTTGTAGAGGGAAAATCAACTCCAACCGATTTATTAATTTATCATCATAATATCGTTACAACCCTTGAATCGCATTCGCAGTTGGATGCAATTTATTTAGATTTTACTAAAGCCTTCGATCGGGTCAATCAATTAATTAGGTACTATCTAAATTTAATTTTTTTGATATTCCCCCATATATAATTAAGTGGTTAGAAAGTTACTTGGTTGAGAGATCTCAAATTGTACGTATTAAGAATCTTAATTCTTATGATATCAGGGTTTCATCTGGAGTCCTCCAGGGTTCCCATTTGGGTCCACATTTAGGTTGTAAATGATGTATATGACAACATTAAGTTCCTCTCATTTGCTGACGATCTTAAATTGTATTTTGAGGTAAATAAACTCTATGATTGTATTCTACTACAGAGTGATATTGATATAATATGTAATTGGTGTTTAAATAACGACATGCTTTTGAACCCTAATAAATGTTACAGTTTGACATTTTGTAAGCTTAAAACAGCAATTACCTTTGATTACACTTTTGATAATAATCCAATACAAAAAGTTCAAGAAATCCGTGATTTAGGCGTTGTATTTGATAGCAATATTTTCTTTGTCCCTCATATAAACTCAGTCATTTCAAAATCACTACAGTTACTTGGTTTTATTAATAGAAATTTTAAAAACTTTAGTATTGCAGCATTAAGAACCTTATTCTTAGCCTATGTTAGATCTACACTTGAATATACATCTGTCGGTTGGTCTCCGCATTATTCGGTGCATATCCAAAGACTGGAAGCTGTTCAAAATCGGTTTCTGAGAACCTGCGCTCACATAATGGGATACGCACAGGGTACTTACGACTACGAAAGTATTGTAAGACTTTTAAAGCTTGAATTTTTATTTATAAGAATATGTATTAATGACCTATTGTTTTTTCATAAAGTGTTATCAGGTAAAATAAACTGTAACGATATATTATCGTCGTTGCGATTTCGTGTACCAGCTAGGTTAACACGTAATGTAGTTTTGTTTGAGCTTCCACAGCATAGAACAAACTATGGTTATTTTAACCCCTTATCTAGATTTATTCGCCTTTGTAATAATTATAACTGTGACATAATAGGAACCTGTTACAATCAATTTAAGAGACAACTCTGTTTGTCACGCCCTAGAATCAGCTAGAACTGTGGGTATATTTCAATTGTTTTTTTTTTTATTTAATTAAATTTAAATTTGTTTTTTGTTTTAATTTAAATTTATTTTTAATTTAACCTTTTAATTGTTTTTTTTTTGTTATTTAAGTTAGGTTAAGTTGATACTTTATTATTATATAAATGTATATATATATATATATATATATATATATATATATATATATATATATATATATATATATATATATATATATATATATATATATTGTAAAAGGATGTATGCTCGTTTAAATAAATAAATAAATAAATTAATTGATCTGTAGTTCCTATTTAATTTAGAGATGTAATACGTGTAATACATTAAATCTAGATTATTTATTTGACATAGAAACATTATGTGCCATTATGTCACAAATTATAATCAAAATGATAATACATTTGCAGCGAAGTCCGTTGCTATTGGATACGCATTGCCCTGTAGAGTAGACGTCGAATGAAGATAAACCACAAATAGCAGTCAGATTTTAGCTTAAGCTTTATCTAAAACTATCCTCCAGCAATAACGAAATACGTTAAACGTAGTTAAATGGCATATGGAAATTTCAGGATAATGCACCTATTATGCATATGAAACTCAGTAAAAGAGAACGACAACTCGAGTGTCTCGCCAGTTTGTCATCTCTGTACAGATATGTTAATTTAGTTAATTTGTTTGGCCAGAAAGTAAAGCTTTTGTTTTGATTTCTATAGGGACGTTTGATGAAGGATATCGTCATAAAATGCCAGGTGGCAATCTGTTACATGTACAATTATTTACTTCATAAAATAGACAATAAATAGAATATAAAGGTAGGTGGAAAATACAACATTTATTCGACAAGTAAACGACCTTATGGAGGTAATCGACTCCGTTCTATTAAAAAAAGTAAATAATAATACAAATTTTAAAATATTTTTAAGAATTCAAGAAATTGCATTAGTAAAGAAAATAAAATATGGAGGTGTTATGATTGACCACACATTAAATTTAAAACATTACACAAGAAAAACTTAAATCTTTTAAAATTATTCACTTGTAGAGAATTTTAAACTTCCTCAATCAGTGAAACAAAATAATTCTGTACAACATTTTGTTACTTCTACATTTAAT